CTGATAGAGCCAGTGTTGTAACTTCTCTTGAAAATAAAAAGATGGCTCTTTAAGATGACAGAGTTTGATTTAGCAGCAATTTAATGGTGCAGCGATAAAGAAGTCGGGAAGAGTTATACGACCACATACTGTTTATGGGGGGACGCTTCGCCGCAACGTAGGGGAGGACGTCTCACCTGTCCGCTTCCTGGGCACTCTGGGTAATTTAAGGGAGGCAGGAGTGAAACAGTGGGGGAGGCAAAATTAGAATGTGCTTCTGGGACCTCTGTCTCGGTAAAGTGTAGAGAAAGTCAGTGAAAGGCATATTTAATAGACTGAAGGCATATTTAATATACGCTGCGGTGTATAGACACAAATCTGGCAATACAAGGGAATATTATGCAAGAAGACAGGACTGGGCTTCTTCAATTCTTTATTTTAATTGTATTGTCACTGGAAGAAAATCCATAAGAGACATTTATATATTTCAAAATGCCTGCATACTAGTCTGGCCTGTTTTCAGGGGGGTCAAAGGATACAAATGAACCTAGCAAAAAACGGCCAAGGGGGGCAATGCAAAGGTCAGCGATTGAACATTACATGTGATAAATGATGACGTTTTACTTACTTATATCACTCATAATAAAAGATGTATGTATTTATGTGAAAACATGTACCGTTAAATCAGTCTATGTGCTGGAATAGTGGCATTACAATGTGCCAGAGGCCACCACATTTCGGCTTTTACCTTTAAAAATGTTCCCCCATAAAGGCATTCTCTGAACCCCCCAGGCTGGTTCTTATCCTTGTGGAAAGTCCTGATCAGAGGCCCACAAAAAGAAAAGCCAGGGTACACAGAAAAATTAAGAAAATGAAAGTGGAAACAGCCACATATTTGGCCAAAAGGAAGTTTGAAAAAGCACCATGACAGGCCAAGGTTAAAGGTGAGGAGATAAGCAGAGAGGCAAAATAAAAACTGCTGTATTGGGCTAATGGCAGGCCAGATACAAGAAGCACATCATTAATAACACAAATTGGTTATTTTAATTTAGCATTTTCAATAGTGCACCATATATACAGTAGTTGAGCAGTGTGTTTGAACAAACCTGCATGACACAAAGCTAAACAATGGCTACTTGTTGTGGGGCTAGTGGGTAAATGTGTTTGTATGACCAATGTAAAGGATTTTTAAAGCCCATAAATAAACCAATATACCTTGAATTTCAGCCTGAGGCTGATTAACAAACGCCCGAGGCAAACACCAGCACTCCCTACAGCCCCGTAAAAAGCAGCAGAATAAGTACGTGCATCCACAGCACAATTCATCTTTACTGCTTGAGGTGGTCACAGCTCCGGCCTCCTGCACCCGTCCACACAATAGTGACCTCAGCGCCATAACTTACAGCCCTATGACTGAAAAGTGTGTATGTGTGTGCACTTTATGGCTGCTTGGGAGGCGACATGCAGAGGGTTTCTTACAGCATTAAAATACCTATATCACAGTGGGGTCACCTAAGCCACTTTACATGGCTTGGAGGGGCAACATAAACTGACAAGCAGTGAAGAAGCCTGAGTGGATTCACTGGTTGTTAAAGACAAGAGGATAAAAACAATCCTCCAAGGGCAAATGAACGAAGGGGAGAAAAAATATCAGCAGCAGAGAGTGGCTCTGTGAGAGTCTACATCGATGTCCATATGCAAAATAATGTTGATTTTTTGTTGACGGCATGAATATAAGATGTCTGGTCATTATATATTTGAAATGCTAATGTCATTGATTGTTTAAACGTAAGGCTGCTACTAGTAAAGGGCATTGATTCAGGCACTAGCTATCACTAGCATAGATATTAGCTTCATGGGAGGATAATCGTTTGTATTGTTGTTGACATTTAAACCCATTTGTTGATCTCGTAACTAGTCTTAAAAAATGAGAATAAAGGACGCTAATGAGAGAAAGTCAGTACAAATGTTTGAACTAGGTATACTAAAGCAGAAAACATCAGAAACCCTCCTGGCATCAAAGTGGTGATTATCTGTTGAGGTTTTACTTTCTGATGTTTATGTCTGATCCCAAAATGTATTATAACTTCACAGTTGGACCATAAACCCAGGTTGGTGTCTCACTGCTTGTGGATTGTATCTAAAACAAAGATGTTGATTTTTAATCACTTATTGGTCCAATGTACTTAATGCTCATGGTTCTTACGGACAGACACGGAGGAACACGAGCTGGAAGAATACAAATAATATTTTGGTGCTGAATTTAGTGATTTGGATTTTTGGGAAATATATTTTCTTTCTGCCGTACTGTGAACGGATCAGACCCTTCCTACATCCAGGACATGGTTAAAGAATACAGTCCAGCATGTGCACTTAACTCTGCATTAGATCCTCTGCTAGCTACTCCATCACTGCGAGTGGGACCCCAAATACACCCCTTATGCTATTCTGGCTCCAAAGTGGTACAAACTGCTCGCAAATGAAATCATGACAGCTGAAATCATGATCTTAGAAAGCATACTGAAAACCTGCCAGCTTCAACTGCACTTTAGCCAATACAAAAAAAAGTTGTAGTACATAACAGATAGGTGAATTGACACTAATGCATCTATAAGGTGTGGCCTATTTGAAGCAATGTACTTAATAATAATAATAATAATGATGATAATGCATTTTATTTATGGGCGCCTTTCAAAGCTCTCAAGGACACCTTACAGAGCATAATTAAAAACAAGCAACAAAGAAGATCACACAGTAATACAAGACTTAAAAACAAAGACTTAAAAACAACAATCACTTTAGAAAAATTATTAAGAAATTAAATATGCCAGTTTAAAAAGGTGTGTTTTCAGGCTGGATTTGAAGGTTGAGAGTGAGTCCATATTGCGGATGTCTTGTGGGAGAGAGTTCCAGAGACGTCCCGGGTTTGCAGGTTTGTTGTTGAGCTGAGTTTGTATCTTCAAAGTTTGATGTACTTATTGTGAGTATTTTTGGATAAAAGCATCTGCTAAATGAAATGTAATGCCCAATGTCACATGTACAGTCTATGAACTCTGCAGGAGGTCTTTTGACCCTTCCCCCATCAGCTTCAAGTGACCCCAACTGTTGAATTCAATGGCGGGAACATCAGAGAACATCCCGCCTGTCCGAGCAATAAGCCGACACACGCATGACGCTGCTGCCCTTCACAGATCTGGTAACGCAATGACTGACACGTATGACATATGACACATTTGCAGTATTCATGATCAGTCACGTAACATACGCTCACAGTATGACAATATCAGTAATTCAATCAATAGCAAACAGAACATGATATTTCTTCTGCACTGCTTCTAGCACAGTCGTTTTTGGATAGAGCTACTTTTTTGTGCACACAGTGAAAGGGCTGCGGATCCTATTGATTCTTCTCCGTCTCTCCAAGTGAAATGCATTAGCCTCATCCATTATTCCACTCAGGCCTATTTGTGACATTGGTCTATGAATAAATGTGCAGTAATGTAATGTAAATGGAAATGTGAGGGCTGTAGGTTTAGTAGCAGCCGTGCAACACAATCAGATTGTCCTCTGATTATCAGAGAGACTCCAACCTAATTCAAAGTCAAGAGGAACACGAGGGTCCGCTCTCCTGACGAGGACCGGCCATCTTTAAAGACACGGCTGGAAATCAAGGAGTCATCAACAAGAGAGGGTGAGAAGAGAGGATCATATGGCACTTAGATGAAGGGTATGACCTTAAAAAAGGTGACCCTTTAGTAAGGATAGGATTTGTTATAAACCTGGATTTGAACAGGCTGATAGCAAAATGAGATGCTTTATGTAAAACCATTCAAGACAGGTTTTATTAAATTATTTATAATTCTATTAATCTTGTTTTTTTTCTAATGCTGTTGGTTGAACTTGTAAAACCCTTCTGCAGAGGAAGGATTTTTCTTCACTTTATATTGTTGTGCTTTATAAAGTTTGTCTCCTTGTTTCCTCTCGATCACCTTTACGCTCCCTTTCCCACTTTCATCTTTTGAAAACAGCTTTGAACTTTGTTTTCAGATGTTGCTTCTTCGCTTGCTTTTCAAGCTCATTATTTAATAGTAAGCCGTCATTTTCTCAAAGTTACTCTGGAGCATTTTGAAACATTATCATGTTTGTTGTCCAAAATACAGAATAATGATGAACTCAAGGATATAGTGAGTATAAAAAGTATGTTTCGCTCCGGTGTTAAAAACACATCATAGCGTATCATTTTATAAATAATTTCATTCCTGATGCTTTTTCCCTTCTCTGGTGTCCAATAATCACGTCTTCAGTGATAGTGAGTGGTTCTGAAGTTTATTTTTCTGTAGTGTTTGCAGGTGAGCTCAGTTTGTATCTTGGATCTCAGTGTTTTGAAGAAGTTCTTTGATGTACCCTGCTGTGTGCCTTCACACTCCAGCAGAGAAATCAATGGCAAACAAAACAGGAAGCCGAACCGAAGTGCAAGTTGCTGTATAGTAATGCACACACACACACACACACACACACACACACACACACACACACACACTCACACACACACGAATGTATTGTTCAGAACTAAATTGAAAAATGATATGAATGTATCTGCAAAAACACACACATACTCACATGTATATGTAAACTGCACATGTGGGAGGGAAGTGAAAATGTCCACATGTAGTAAGTCAGCTGAAATTAAGCACCCGTGTTGTCTTTGTAACCACACTGAGCTCGGAGGCAAACTGTGACACCTCTCCCAGCTGCTGCATACTGATCATAGTCAAGAGGACACAGAGGAGAGGGAGAGAGCAGCATGTACTGTACAGAGGATGAGGAGAGAGTGTGTGTGTGTGTGTGTGTGTGTGTGTGTGTGTGTGTGTGTGTGTGTGTGTGTGTGT